AGCAAATTATGACACTTTTTACCAGTAGTCAGCCTCATTTCTCCACAAGTTTTTTTTTTTTTTTTTTTATAGGAGAGGGGGCAAACGAGCATGCGGCTCACCCGATGGTAAGTGACTACCGCCGCCCATGAACAACCGCAACACCAGGGGAATTGCAGATGCGTTGCCGGCCTTTTAAAAAGGAGTAGGCTCTTTTCTTGAAGGTCCCTAAGTCGTATCGGTCCGGAAAAATCCCTGGTGGTAAACTATTCCACAAGGAAGTTGTGCGAGGAAGAAAACATCTTCTAAATCGCACAGTGGTGGACCGCCAATCATCCAGATGGTGTGGATGGTATCGGGAGTTCTGCCGCGATGTGCGTTCGTGAAATTTGGCGGCTGGGATTAATCCGAACAATTCCTCAGAGCACTCCCCATGGTAGATGCGAAAGAAAATGCAAAGAGATGCAACATCTCTTCGCAGTGCCAATGAATCGAGCCGATCGGAAAGGGCTCGGTCGTCGACGATTCGAGCCGCTCTGCGCTGGATGCGGTCAAGTGGAAGGAGCTGGCACTGGGGAGCCCCTGCCCAGAGATGGGAACAGTATTCCATGTGAGGCCGAACCTGCGCCTTGTAAAGTTGCAGGCGGTGTGCCGGCATGAAATACTGTCCCGCTCTGCTGAGCACGCCAAGCTTTTTAGAGGCCAATTTGGCCTTCTCTTCCAAGTGACCACGAAACTGCACGTCACTCGATATGTCGACTCCGAGGATACCGATACTGGCTGAGGCAAGAAGGGGAGTGCCTTGAAACTGAGGAGATACGACAAAGGGGTTCTTTTTAGCGGTAAACGCGCAAACTTGTGTCTTCTGAGGATTAAACTGGACTAGATTTAGTCGCCCCCAATCCGAGACTTTGTCCAGCAAAGACTCGACTTCAGACACAAGTTTGTTCCGGTACTCGGCGACGTTTTCCCGAGAAATATTGGCCCGGCCGGTGTATAGAGCATCACCAGTGCTGTCATCCGCATAGCAATGAATGTTACCAGTTAGCAACATATCATTGATATGCAGAAGAAACAGCGTTGGTGATAGCACACAGCCTTGTGGAACACCAGCGTTAATAGGCTTGTAGTCAGAACATGCACCGTCTACAACGACCTTGATGCTCCGATCTGCAAGAAAGCTGGTGATCCAATTGCACAATTTCTCGGGAAGCCCATAGGAAGGCAGCTTCGAAAGAAGCGCTTTGTGCCAAACCCGATCAAAGGCCTTCGCAATGTCCAAACTAACGGCCAACGCCTCCCCCTTGGACTCTACTGCCTTCGCCCATCTATGGGTCAGGTAGACCAGAAGATCACCAGCTGAGCGACCCCGACGAAAACCGTATTGGCGGTCACTAATCAGCTGGTGATCCTCAAGGTACCGGATGAGCTGGCAGTTAATAATGGATTCCATTATTTTGGAGAACAAGGAGGTGATCGCGATAGGCCTATAGTTGGACGGGTCTGAGCGGTCAGTCAGTCAGCCATGTCTTACCATGAAGTCAGCCTCTCACTCATTCTAGCATATTTGGCATAGAAATTCTTTATTATGTGTATTTTTAAATAATATGTCCTGAATCCAGTACATTTTAAACTAAACCATGCAAGGCAATTGTCACATCCAATATTCTTTATGTAATTAATTTCTGTGTCGCTAGTACCTACCTAAATTCATCTTCACAGTTTTTGCATCTTACTCTGTTTATTGTAAAGTCGTATTTTATTCCTCTTTTTACTATTTCTGAAATTGAAAAGCTTTTCCACTTTTCTTTTTCTTTAATTCTTCTTTCTTCTTTTGCCTTTCTTCTTCTTTCTTTGTTTTAGCTTTAAGTCTCTAAATTTTTTATCAATATATCATTCCACTTCGTCTTTTTGTTTCTGAAATTTTCTCCAACCTTCGGAAGAAAGAGCTTCTGTTCCTTTCATCGCATTCCTAATTGCCGTCATAGCTTGTGTTAATTGCTCTTATTTGTATTGATGGATAGGTCTTTTTGACATGATGGAATACTAAAATAAATTTTGCCCCTTATTGAAAAGGCTTTAAGGTACGTTTTTATGCAACAGGACTAATGGCTCCCTACTGGATTTGTAGATTCATTGGTCGGCCCCTGACATGCTATTACGTTTGTACGCGGCTGGCTACTGGTAAAATACACTTTTTGGCTTATAAGAGTTAAACCCAAAGTAATGAGCAAAATCGGGATGGATAGTCCTTTAGACGGATAGTTCCGTTAATTTCAACTACATATAATGAAATCCCAAAAAATCCAGTACTTAGCCACTTATGACCGAGTACTGTATCTACCTTAAAAATTCGAAACCCAGTAGTCGGCCACCTAAATTACAATTTGTTAACCAAATAAAATGCATGTAACAGTTAATTTTTAGAGCAAAATAAACATTTTATTGTAACACAGTATAAATCCACCACAAATTACAGCAAATACACACAAAAACTTACCGAGAACTCGAGCACGTTTCCTTAAGAAAATAATTGTAACAACTCTATAATCTAGTCATGTTTTGGCAGCAGTGCAAATTAATAAGAGTACTCGTCAACCTGACATGGTGTTGGTTCGTATTAGAAAATAAGGAGAAACAGATTCAATTAAACGTTATTTTAAAGGTATAAAGACAATTCAACACTATTTATGTGTACGAGGGCTGCACTAAAAGTATCGGGAATGGAATATTTCCACTGTTCCTGTCATATTAAAATCTTTTTAATTGAAATTCCCTTGGTTTTAAAAATCGTATACCATTTATTTATTTAAAAAAAGATTCTCGTTCTTGTCACAAGGTTTTGTCAAACTTGTTTAGTCGTTGAGAAAATGGAATTGACTCGAGAAAATTCAAGAGCGATGATTTATTATGACTTTCGAAGTGTTTTAACACAAAAACAGTGTGTTGACCGGATGATTTCTGCATTTGGTGATGAAGCCCCATCCAAAACCACAATTTATCGCTCGATTTCAACGTGGACGTGTCAAGCTCAGTGATGATCCCCGTCAAGGTCGTCCAAAAACTGCAGTCACCCAAGAAAACGTTGATGCTGTGCGTAAGCTGATTGAGGAAGATCGACATGTGACATACCGCGAAATTCAAGCAACTTTAGGCATTGGCATGAGTCAAATACAAATAATCTTTCATGAACAATTAGGTGTAAAAAAGTTGCTTTCCCGATGGATACCGCATTCGCTCTGTGAAGAGCAAAAAGCGGCTTGCGTTACTTGGTGCGTCAGAACTCTCGAAAGATTCCACGCAGGATCCTCAAATGCTGTATACAACATCGTATCAGGTGACGAATCCTGAATATACGCGTACGAACCCGAAACAAAAAACCAATCACAAGTTTGGGTGTTCGAAAATGAGTTAAAACCAACAAAAATTGTTCGTTCACGGAGTGTTGCAAAAAAAAATGGTGGCCACGTTTGTCTCCAAAACCGCCCATGTTACGGCTATTCCTCTTGAGGGACAAAGAACGGTTAATGCAGAATGGTATGCTAGCATTTGTTTGCCACAGGTCGTTTTTGAACTCCGTAAAGAGAACTGCAACCGCCGCATCATCCTCCATCACGACAATGCGAGTTCTCACACCGCACACAGAACAAAAGAGTTTTTAGAGCAAGAAAACATAGAATTATTAGACCATCCACCGTACAGCCCCGACCTAAGCCCTAATGATTTCTATACTTTCCCTAAAATAAAGAATAAATTGCGTGGACAGAGATTTTCATCACCTGAAAAACTGTGGACGTCTACAAAACGGCCATTTTGGAGACCCCAACTTCCGAATGGAATGGTTGCTTCAATGATTGGTTCCATCGTATGGAAAAATGTGTCAAATTTCGCGGAGAATACTTCGAAAAGCAATAAATACATTTTTAAATAGTAATGTTGTGTCACTTCCTTGATTCCCGAAATTTTCGGTGCCGCCCTCGTAATTAATGTCTGTAAAGGCTGACTACCGGGTGTTTTACCCTACTAGTTATTTTTACAATTAAAGGTTAAATATAACCCCACTCGGCACTCAGCACTATTTCTGGAGAAGTAAAATTATACTTATACGATAATTGTGGTTTTTAGCTTCTCATTAAGCGGTATAATAAAATGGGTCGATCATCCAAAACAGGGACTAATGGACTACAAAACCCCTCGATTTAAACACCATCATTAGTTTTAAAGTTATTTGAACCTTTAATGATTTTGAATAGAAACCTGATTTTAGTGTAAATCTGATCCCTACAGGTTACGTAATTTTTTTTCTGGCAGAAGTCAATACTAGGTCTAAGATACAACAAGTGGGATGGAGGAAGTAAAGACGGTGTAAGAACCTGTGGAGACGGTTATATGGAAGAGTTATAGCCGAAATAAATTTTTTGTTTTTTGGCCATTTTGACCCCCTAAGTGTCTAATGAGAATTTTTTCCCCCTATTTAACCATGACCCCCATGACATCCTTTACATGATAGGCTATTCAAACTGACTATGCCTAAAGTTCGAGCCACCCCCAAGTTTTGGTTTTTGGCCATTTTGACTCCCTAGAAGTGTAATGAGAACTTTTTGCCCCCCCCCCCCCTCAACCATTACCCCCATGACATCCTCTACATAATAGGTTATTCAAACTGACTAGGCCTAAAGTTCGAGTCACCCCCAACTCATTTAGTCTTTACTTCCAACAACAAAAACCATTGATCTCGTATAATATGTTAAACAAAAACTTAATATAATTCTTTCCAACTCCAATTTTCTTTGACTTTCAATAGTCATTGAAAAACATACGTAATTTCTTTTTCTACAGCGTATCTTGCGGGCCTATCAGACAGAACGCGTTCAAGCGTTTCGCGTTCGCGTTCTGCGTTCGTTGTGTTGTATTACGTTACATAGACATGCCGAGACAGCAGGCATTCTGACCGCGCCGGTCAACCAGAACGCACGCATTCGCGCGTTCACTGCTGTTTCGGTGACCACATCGGAAGGAAGATGGGGACCGAAAAGTTGATTATGTTAGTACGAGAAAGGAGTTTTTTATATGATGTGAAGAATAATGATTATAAAAACCGAAGAAAAGTAGCAGAAGCATGGTTAGAAATTGGCAGAGAAATGGGGACCGAAAATGGTAAGTCATATAAATACTTTATACCTAATACTAGTTTGAGCATACTTGCTTTCACATCAAAAAAGGTCTCAAGTTCAAGCCTAGTATGTTTACACATAATTTATATACCTACCTAGGTAGGTATTTAAATTATGTGTCTACTTACAGTAAAAGGTCCTTATTCGGGGGAATATGTTGAGATATAGTTATATGTATATATAAATATTCCGTACAATATTAAAAAAAGCAAAGAGACGTTATTTCATCACAACGACTGACAAGTTGAAGAAATAAAACACTAACCGTGGTTAAGGTGGTTTTTATCACAGGACATAGCGAAACGTGTAATATGGTGGCGGTGGCATTTGACAACGTATCTTAGGCGTAGTATAAATAAGATTTGTTTTACTTTGAGATTAGTCCATTACACTCTTTATAGAAGCCACCTCGGCACGTGCCAGAGGTACTCAAAAGATGCCGAAAAGTTAATAAAGGACACCGAATCATTTTAATATACAGCTAATATACATTTAATATACAGTATATAAATATTTAGACACGTTTTTTTTAATACGATAGGATGATAAACATCTACATTTATCCTCAATAAAGAATCAAAATGCAGATGCGTCGTCACCCGTGAGGACTAAGATAGAATGCCTCTTTTCCAGTAAAATGGATCTCCGGTTCTCTACACTCACCATACGAAACTCAGCAGTGTCAAGCTGCCATTTTACGCTGATATTCTGTGAGAGCGTGGCCCTTCCCCGGTCGAGCCGACCCATTCGTGCTACAACTATACTACTAATATACCTGCGGCATGGCTTTACCACGTATGAACTTAGTCGCAATTTTTAACCCGCGAATGAAACCGTGAATACGGGAATCGTTAATAAGGATCTTTTACTGTACTGAAAACTGCCAAGTATTATATTAAATATGTATGACTGACACTTTTATTTATATCTTGGAAAAAATTGTTCAGTATGAGATAATTATATGGTTAGGAAAGTAATTATACAAATATACAACACATAAGTATAGGAAGTACAAAGTAATTTATTTTAAAGAGACAAACGTATATTATGGAATAATTTGACATTTAATGTAAATTTAAATCTATATCTATGCATATAATAAATCTGTAGAAAAGTCATGTCTGTAATTCTAATGTATTTTTTGTTTTCACTCTATCGTAAATATTAAGGGTTGCAAAGATGAGTAGAACTTATTATGTTAGTCTCCCATAAATTTTCCTGGATATTTGCTATATTTGCCACGCTTGGTAGGCGGGTTGGGAACCGCAGCTATTATTATTTTGATCTGTTGTTAGGAAGATGGTGCTGCCCATCTCCTCTTTGTTTTCCTATGTCGCCTCTTACGACGGGACGATATGAGGTGGCGGATTCTCTTCAACCGCCACAACAATGCAAACATTTTTCTACTTTCGTTTATGACTGTAGTGCTTCCCACGTTCACTGTGAATAAAATTTATAAGGAATATAACAAATTTTAAGGATTTTATCGCGTTTAATTTTATTTTTTTTAAATTCCGATGTTTTGGGCATACATTAGCTCCCATGGTTAGTAACATACATTAGCTACCATGGTCACGGGAGCACTGAGGTGTTTGACGACATGATGTCATAGTTGGAATAGAATAGAATAAGGATAGAATAGGATAAATGCAGTAGTATGCTTGGGTTTGCATTTAATTTTATTAATTATGGGTCCTTAGCAGAGGGTAGCACTCAGCCATCTTCCCTATTAAAATTAGGATATTTTTTAATTTCAATAACCTCGTGATTTTTTGGTAGGAATCGGTGTTCCATTGCAAGGATTTGTTGTCTATCAGATCCGATATAATGGTTGGGACGACGATACTAAACATAAAAATTGACATACTTTAGAATTCCTGGAGCGTCGGTGCTTCACATCAACGATATGTTCTTTTACGCGGGTTTTTATGGAACTTTCATGCAAGGATGCGTAAAAAAACTCAACGTAAAAAAATTAAAATTAAACGGGATTAAATTCGTAACATTAGTCTTATTCAATTTGTAATATTCGTCATTATAGAACAGCATTTATGAAATTTTGAAGTCTACTCGAACGTATAAAAAATATCTACATCTATTTTATAATTAAATAGGACCAATTTTATGAATAAAATATCTCAAATAAACATTATACCGTTAACTTTAATCATAAATGAATGTAAAATGTGAATAATAATAATAAATTTTGATTGCAAGACAGTTTACCTTTCTTATGGATACATCGGAAAACATGCCCGATATCAAAAATAGTAGCTGTTTCTAGACATGTATAGTCACGTGTTCCTGTAGCATATTATATCTATGCAAAATACCAATCATCTACGTCTAATAGTCTTTTAGAATTCAAAAGAAATCTTTGACACCGAAGTGATCGATTTTGCTAAATTTGGCACGGAAGAGCATTTAGTGATGTTCCTATATTCAAGCTCACGCGAGCGAAGTCGCGGGTAAAAAGCTAGTATGTAATAAAGTATTCACGAACTTCATATGCTGTCATTTTACTTCTCTCGACATTTGGAGCAAAATTATTAAAAGAACGGACGGTTACATAGTAACGACGAATTATATCTTCATCTACCACACTATTGTCTTCCTTAATTCTGAGGTAGTTGCGTGAGCAACACTCATAATAAATCATAATAAATTTATAGTCAGAATCTACCACTGAGGGAAATACTGTTGAGAATTTTTGTTTATGACAATAATACGAAGACTCAGTGTTGGCTGGGCATTATATCGTTACATGTTTTCTATCTATGCTTCCTAGACAATTTGGAAATCTCCATCGTTCATGAAATTTGACTACATACTGTTCCACATTTCTTTTGACGGGAATGGCATGCATGTTGGTTGCAGATTTTTCCAAAATGCATCACATGTTTCCTAAATTATTGTAGTAACTGTTGATTTTTTCGGTTTTCGCACACAATAGGAATTGCTTATTGTGGATGAGTAATCTCAGGTGGCAAGATACCTGAAAAAATAATATATTATTTATAAGTATGTAATTAAATCATTTCCTGAATAATTTTACAGGTAAACAATGGGCTACTAAATGGAAAAGTTTGAGAGATAATTATAAGAAATTTAAAAAGGCAACAGAAATTGGTTCTGGGCCTGCATACAAAAAATATAAACGTTGGCCTTGGGCAGAACACCTGCGATTTCTAGATGACACTATTGCACTGAAAGAAACTGATATGAACATTAAGAGTGAAAATAGAAATAGTACTTCACAAGTTTCTGACTCTGACAACCAAACTCGTCCAGATACGAGTAGCGGTGTTTATTCGCAAGATTCTGTATCTGATTTTAAAAACCTCTCCCGTCCTGGTACCAGCAATAGTGCCTACTCTCGAAATACTGCCACTAATAAAAGGAGAACACAAAAAGTCGATTCAGACGCAGAGCAACAACTGTTAAAATATTTACAAGAGAAGAATCTTAATGAGAAAAAATTGGATGATATTGATCAATTATTTCAAAGTTATGCGACTTCATTGAAGAAACTGCCGGCTCGCATGCAAAGTATGCTTAAATTAGATATAGCAAAATTATTCGCAAAATACGAAATGCAAGTCCAAGACAATATAAATATCACTCCAGTCAATTCACCATCCACTAACTCGTCTACGTAGGATTCCATGACATTTTTGGATGAATATTCATCAGAAAATACTATGTTACAAGATGTTAACCGGCCACAAGGTGTAATTGAACTTTCATCACATAAAATGGATTAACTATTAAGAAGGTGCATAGCCTGTTATGTCAAATGATTCAAGTCAAGTCCAATTGTATCTGAATTGTCTGAATTTAGACATTGTCATGAACAAGCCGCTGAAATAATTAATAATAATAATGATTAAAACTTCCTACCTCAAACATACCACCAATTTTTTTTTGCTGAAATAGCTTTCTTCCAGTTATCCTATTTAACTAAGTCATGTTTAACTTTGTCATGCAGTTCATTGAAAGAATCAATTGACATCCAAAAAGAATTATAAAAATTTCTTTATCAGCCATTTACAAAACAGTCCATGATATTCTCCATCTTGTTCTCTATTCTTGTTTACTGAGCGCACCCAATGTTTCCTTTTCCGTTTTGATGCTGCTAATGTCCACAATATCAATAATTCGTCTTCCGATGCAAAAGTATAGTCAAAAAACATGGTGACTGTAGGAGCACCGCGTAGACCGTCTAACAGCGGGATTCGTGCGCTGGATTCGCGAATGTGGAACGCTTGAACGCGTGACCGCTTCCTGTCTGATAGAACCCTTACAAATAATAATATTTATAATTTTTTTTTATAAAAGATTTATGATGGGAATTACTTGCCCGATTGCTGAATGTATTGTCTTTGTTTTATAACAGAACAGAAACATATTACATTAAGAGGGTTAGAATAGTTGAGATTTCAATGTTGGTAGACAGTATTGAGGCTGTTTCTAGCTATCATTGCTACCTAGTTTCACTTATGATAATACAGACTTTTACGTAGATGCTTACTTCTTATTTTAATTTAGTACTGATAAAGAGTGAAATAATAATGAACCATTTAATTTGTCGAAGCCTACACATATGTATGCACTGACCGACACAAAAACGACTCTTTGAATTTTAAGTAATTAATTGTTTTAGAAAAATTTTAGTCAGTATGTTATTATTTGAATTTAGGATTCAATTTTTTCGACTATTGTAGTGAATCATTCAGGTAAACGGGAATACAAGCCTAAACAGAAAAAAGTATTACGAGTATATACTTTTCTAAGATTATCGTTTCGGATTTTAAATTAATTATTGATTAATTAAAAATAATTCAAAATTCTATCAACATATTCTAATTGTCGTCTACTATGCGAATTATCATCGAGTTCAATGAAATTATGAAATAAATAAACAATTATAAATAAAATACACGATATTTATGGTGACTATCAACAGTGCTTACTGCGGATAAAAGTATTAGTCCATCAATCTTTTTATAATTATTTTTAAAAATACATTTTAAATTTTAATTACAAATTATTGTATTTATACTGTATGTATTGCCATTATCACCGAGTAGTGGCGGTGTAAGGGAATCCACTACCCCATATCATCCCGTGGGAGTCGTGAGAGGCGACAAAGGGAAATTGAAAAAGGGGATGGACAGAACCTTTTTCTAATATCGGCTCAAAATAATAAAAACCTGTACTGTTTGCCGAACCGCTTACAATGCTTGGAAATTAGGGCAAATATTACCTCTATCATGTAATTATTGCGGAGGCCTATCTTCAACATTACCATACCATATTAATACCATAAAGTACCTAAGTAAAGACGTGTAGCCTGGGGGTTGTGATGTTAGAAATTATGAGAAATGCCAAAAACTCTTTTGGCTTCCGAGAGATGGTGGTATTATTACTATCTCGTGTAATGTGCCCGATGTTATTGACCAGATCGGTAATGGAAAAGGTGCGAGACATCTTGTATTGTGGTCGTCAACCTGCTTGTCAAATGAGTCTGCAGTGCACTTTATAACCTAATTAAGATGATGAGAAAATAAAGCCATATAATCTTCTCCAGATCGAATTTCAGACACGGCGGCCAGTCTCAACGGAGACTAACTATCTGCATCACATACCCTCACTCTCGTAGTCCACTGGGTCGGCAATCTGATCAACGATGCAGTCAATAACAGACAACGAGTAGCAGTAACCATAGGGTCAATGAAAACAAATAAAGTACGTGAGGGCAATATGGTCATCCGGTTAATATGGTCATTTTTTTAAAACTCAAAAACTACAGCCTTGTTAGTATAGGCGGCTCTGTTATAGTATGGCTCTTTATAAGTCAATCAAATAATAAAGGGTCAAAATTTTTAATACGTCTTTGTCAAAATGGCGCTGCTTTATCGACGCCATTTTGACAGTTGACAATATAGTAAGAATTTTAGTTGATTTTAGTATTGTGTTGTGTAGTTACCTTTTTATAAGTTGATTTTTCTAAGTGTTCCTAATTATTGACAAAGTTTGTTTGCTATTTTTTTTCTTAATATATTAGTTATAGTATACAACCTTGTGTTTTTGTCTCTGTCCTCCTCCTAGTTTTGGTTTTATAGGGCGGCAAAGCTTAAGGTGACCATAATAACCTCACGTACCTTACGAATAGTTTGACTACGCTACTACGTAGATACATAATTAAATGAATTTAAAAATATGTAGATGTTAACCTCGTAAAGGTAAAGAAAGTGAAGGCTATTCACCCACCCATTAGATGGAATGACGACTTGATAAGAAATGCAGGAAGTCGATGGATGCAGGTGTTGTGGGACCGCGCCCGGCCTACATTCAGCAGTGTTTGTCACAATGATGATAATGATAATAGTTAATACATCAACTGTTAGAAAAGTCTTTTATAAAAGTTGATGATGAGGAGATGATATGTGAAGCAATTGGTAGCTGCTTCTAATTTTCTTTTTGACCATGATTAATTTAAACTAAAGTGATGATCTGCGCAGTATATGCTTATATTGTTTATTGACCTGATATAACAAGAGTCAACAGTATTTAATTAAGTTTATTTAAACTATCATGTGCGCGAAAAGATTACAGTCAACCAAAAAAACTCTGGATCTGAAAATCCTTGACCTGAATAGAATTCAGGTGTAAGATTGTATTCAGCCCTGAGACAAGGATTCAACAGAAACATGAGCTTATAACTTGATTGACAAAAGTTGCATTTCGCATTTTACAAAGAAACAAAAAAAAGTTTAAAATTAGTTTAGTCGTACTCCATTTTTAATAACATACCTAATAATGTTCTAGGTAAGTATAAAGATCATCTGAACAAAGGTGAAATGATACAAAACAGCTGTCCGACCGGCCACCTCCGTTTAACAGCTTGGGACGGCGTAATGGCTTAATAAGTAGACAAATCACGTTTCCGTCGAGGCAAAACCCGTTCTGTGCGTTAACAATCGACGTCGCCGCATTATGACAGGGCTTGTGACCTAGCGGTCCGCTTCGCGTAAATTATACAGTCTTATATCCGACTGCGATGGTGTTGGGTTTTAAATCTTAATATTGATGTTTCTCGTATTACATGCGTGTCCATTATAATAAAACGCAAAATTATTAGTAGTAGCAAATTACTTACTATTAAAATACGTGTTATCGTATTATTTTAGTATTTGTTAATATAATCCTCCGTTGACGCGTCAACATATCGAGTAACGTACAGTTTCGTGATCACTTGGAGGAGAAGGCTAAATTGGCTGCCAATATTGACATGCTCAGCAGAGCGAGACAGTATTTCATACCGACACACCGCCTGCAACTTTACAAGGCGCAGGTTCGGCCTCACATGAAATACTGTTCCTATCTCTGGGCTGGGGCTCCCCAGTGCCAGCTCCTTCCACTTGACCGCATCCAAGGCAGAGCGGCTCGAATCGTCGACGACCGAATTCTTTCCGATCGGCTCGATTCACTGGCGCTGCGAAGAGATGTTGCATCCTTTTGCATTTCCTTTCGCATCTACCACGGGGAGTGCTCTGAGGAATTGTTCCGATTAATCCCACCACTGGAATAGTTTACCACCGGCGATTTTTCTGGACTAATACGACTTAAGAACTTTCAAGAAAAGAGCTTACTCCTTTGTAAAAGGCTGGCAGCGCGCATGCAACTCCCCTGGCGGTGATGTTCTTCTCTTTGTGTGTCCACTTTCTGGGAAAAGGAGGTTATTCATGTTTCGCAGAGACCCTCTTTACACGTGCTGCATCTCAGGGGGCACGGCTCCCCCGGTCCTGGGTGCTGCGTTGGCAGCTTTTTGGTTGGTGTGTTGTTCACTTCACGCCATTCTATTCCCCTGGTGTTGCAATTGTTCATGGGTGACTGTAGTCACTTACCATCAGGTGAGCTGTATACTCGTTTGAAAAATATAACTTTTTTTTAGCATACGGTAACAAACGAGCACACAGTCCACCTGATGGTAAGTGGTTGCTGTGGCCCATAGACATCTACATCTATCCTCGATTACGAATCAAAATGCAGATGCGTTCTCACCCCTGAGAACTAAGATGGAATGCCTCGTTTCCAGTAAAATTGTCTCCGGTTCTATACACTCACCATACGAAACGCAGCACTATTAAGCTGCTATTTTACGCTGGTATTCTGTGAGAGCGTGATCCTTCCCCGGCCGAGCCGACCCATTCGTGCTACAACTATACTAATAATATAGCTGCAGCATGGCTCTACCACGTATTAAAAATATTGAAGTGTCTGTCTGTAATATTGAAATAAATGGCTCGTATTAAGCTCAAGGGTTATTTGCATGTTATTTAGACATTAACCAACATTTTTTTTAAATTCTGTCTATCTATTTGACAGAGCTTATTTTTGGAATGGCTGAAACTAATTATGATGAAACTTTACGAAAAGACAGAGAGCAATTCAAATGTCAAACGTGGTAGTGTCATGCTGCAGCTATATTAACTTTTACCTTTATAACTTAATACAGATGTTTAACATAAAGAAATAAATAAATGCGTACACCGATATAGTAAAAGCCCTGCATTATGACGACATGTACTCGATTTCTATTCTAAAGACCTACGTAATAGAATCGCCCTCTATTATAATTGCCCTCCATTCTATT